ATTCTTTTTTTCTCTTTTTTTATTAGCACATGTTTGCCTTACATGAAGCTTACATTCATCTTGGGCAGTAGGTTTATGTACATAACACAGCTTGTTTCTTTTCTTAATTTCCTTTCCTGTACCACCCACCTCCCTCCCTCCACCTCTATCTCCTTTCCCCATTTTCATTTTTTATTATTCTTAGCTCATGTTTATGACATAAAATGTTTACCTTTATTGTGGTTATATACGGTAACATAAAAATGGTCTATCCCCAGTCTTTTCTTTTCTTGCAGCTAATTGTTGAGTCCTGTGGCCTTCTCTACTAGAGTTCCTCACTCTGATATATTGCTTTTTTGTCCTGTTCTCAGTTATCGGATATATCAAATGCTGAGGTATATTAAAGAGTAAGGACTTTGTTGTTACCCAATGCAGCCAGCCAGAACTCAAAGCAATGTGTAACTTACTAATAATTCAGCTGCAGGTATGGGAATTGTTAAATTATGGTAATATTTCTCCAAATGTAATATGCATACAAATCCCCTGAAATACTGATTAAAATTCTAAATTTCTTACAAACTCCTGGATGGCACCAGTACTGCTAGTCTAAGGATCATACACTCTGAGTCTTTATTAGGTAGGCCACATTGAGAATTAGGGATTTTGGGAACTGTGGATCTAACTAGAAAGTTGTAGGAATGGAAAAGAAATTTCACATTTTATTTTAAAAACCAAAACTCTAAGAAAATCATCTCTCCTCCTACTGCCAACCTGTACTATTACCCTCCCCATAGTTTTTGAAGTCTTTGGCTTGAAAATCAAGAAAACTCAGTTCTTAAGAGATAGAAATGTATGACCTTTATTCTGACTAAGTGGTCAAGCAAAAGGAGGGAGGATTTTGGGGAGGAGGAGTTTAGAGACCTAGAAAATTAGTGCTTTTGTCTTGACATACAACTCTGCTGGGAAAGAGTGACTCAATGTCTAATTTATCTTGCTGTAGTACAAATGTTTCTACCACAGGATTGGACTTGGGTCTCAGAAGGAAAAAATTCCTGATAAAAAGCATAGTGGGTAATGAAAGTTGGGCACAATGGAATCGAGAAGACCTAGAGTCAACAATGTCCCCATGGAAATACAGAGCCACACAAATGTTTAAATATTATCACAGGGCACGCATTCACAACTTATTTTTCATCCAGAGAATGCTATGTCATTGATGCAGATCCAGAGCTTGCTTAAGTTTACCATGTGATAGAATGGTCTGTTAAGTAAACCTAAAACTGAAAGACAGTGATATATCTATATCTATATCTATATCTATTTATCTATAGATATATATATTTATAGATTATATATATGGATTAAGGCTAATTTGCATAGATAGATAGATAGATAGATTAAGGCTAATTTGCCTGGGATGATTTGATCAGTGGAGGTAGAGAAATGGAGTAAAGTTTGATGTTATAGGAACTCAGGGGAAAAGACTGAACCTTAGGTCATGACATTGGATGAGGTTTTTGGACCATTGTTTGGATGAGTAGCTCAGAATGATTTTTGAAAAGCTCAAATTTTTCTACATAAGATAATAATATTGAGTCTCCAAGAGTAGTTGCAGAAGGGAGAAGATGATAGAGAATAAACAAGAGAGAACACAGTAAACTTGATGAGAACCCATTTAGTTACAGGTTACAAGATGGCTAGGGAAATATTGTTTGGTTCTCCAGGGTTGCCTGAACCTGAGAGAAACATATTCCTGAAATCACACCCTTCCAGTGCTCCCCATATTAGATGAAAGAGTGAAGTAGTATCATCAATGATCAGGGTGGCCCAGCATGCTCCAGCGCATTGCCCAAATTGTTGGCCCTGAGTGGCAGTTCTTTCTGCTTCCTCCTTCTTTCTTTCAAAAGTGTCAATTCCTAATAAATCCTTCACATATCAAGCTCCTCCTCAATATCTGCTTCTGGAGGACCTAACCACTGACAGTTGATTATTTGACCAACAAAACTATTAATCTACTGTGGGATTGGCAAGTATAAAAGAGAGAATTTACATAAAATTAACACTAGTAATGGAAAAAGAAGATACAGTAACACTGCCATAGACATTGAAAAATCATATAGGTACCTAATGAGCAGCTTTTAGCCAATAAATATAAAAGTATATATTCAAAGTACATATTTTAGATAAACATGATATAAGAAGTCAAAGTAATAAATAGAAAATTTACATAACTTTGAAGTTATTTTAAAATACATCTTTAATTTCTACAAATGATTTCAAAACTCATGAAAAAGATAAAAATTTGAATTATCCACAATGATTAACTTGTAACTAAAAACTACCCTTGAGTGGCCATTTAATAAAAATCATGTAAAACATATGTAAAGTCTTCAGGGTGGGGATAAGAATAATTTCCTAGTTATTTTTGAGCTCTGTGTTATGTTACTTAGCAAAACATTTCAAAAAGATGGTAAATAAGAAAAATTTCAGGCCATTTTCATTGATAAATATTGATGTAAAAATCCTAAGCAAAATACTAGCAAAACAAATCCTGCAATAAACAAGGAAAAATAAAGTGACAGACCTAACTTGAGTTTATTGCAAAAAGGTAAGGTTAATACTTGAAAATGAATGAACATAATCATACTAACAGAATAATAAAGTCTTAACAATCATAAAATTATGAATATCATTAGACACATAATAATTTTGTGAAATGTGATGTCTACTGCTGATAGAAAACTCCATCATGGAAATAACAGAAGGTGATCAAATTATCTGATACAAGTAGTTACTGAAAAATCCTACCAAACATACTTAATGGCAAAATGTTGAGAAACGTACTCTGATATCTGCAAAGAAAAGATAGCAATTTTCACCACCTCCACTCTACTGCCCTCTAGAGATTTTAACCAGTGCAATTAAGCAATAAATATGTAAATTATTTGATTAGAAAAAGACTGAAGGAATCTGATCTTATTTGTAGTGGTATGATTAGGCATAAAATAAGGCCTAAAGGATCTACCATTATTTATTAGAAATAAAAATAAGTTTAGTGGTTTTTCTCAAAAAAGACCTAATATAAATTGACTTTATTTTTACATATCAGATCTAGATTTAGAAAAAGATAACTTATAAGATTACTAACACCAACATAAATTGATATCAGATGTTTAAGAATAAAACTAATGTGTGTTATGTGATAGAAAAATATAAAATAATATTGAGAAAAATTAATGCCTTAATTAATTGAATTTCACATTCTTGGATTTCAAATTCTTGCACACTACATATTTCACTTCTCTCACAATACATTATGAATAAAATTTCCAATGTGTATCTTTGGTTTTGAGGATAAAATCCCAACTTTTATTTTATTTATTTATTATTTTTTTTGGTACTAGGTATCGAACTCAGGACCTTGGACTTGTGAGTCAGGCACTGTGCCCCTGTGCTAAATCCCTGGCCCCCAACTTTTATTTTAAAGGTTCAATCTACAGTGGTGCCTTGGTTTACAAACTTTGTTTTACTATTTTGGGGCAGATGGCTGCCTTTGTGTTTGTGTGGGGCACATGCCCATGGTCGTGTTTGTCACCCAATGCAGTTTGGGAACAGAAGCAAAATGTTGCCAAACACTTTGGTTTGCAAACTGAATTACTTGCAAACAGAAGCATTCTTGAACCAATTTATTACTAAATTTTTAAAGCAGGAAAAAGGTTATACTATATACTTTTTATGCATTGGTAAGCAATATAGATCATATTAGAAATCAAGTGATAAATTGTTTCTAGCATATAGCTTAGGATAGCCAAGTTACAAAGAAAAATGATGTGTTGATATGTAATGCTCCACAGTAAGCTCTGTGGCAGTAGTGTGTAGTGCAAATCCTTGAACCTTGTTGTTTCTTAAATATGATTCTTAAAAACATGACTAATAATTGTATTTAGTGAGAAATGATGAACATTTTATACTGGAAAATCCTATCTTTGTGATTCATTATCATGGTTCTCTAGCAGGGCTCTAATTAAGACTGGCTTCAGGACTACTCCATATTAGAGAAGTTATCATGAATTTACTATTTTATACTCATTTGAGAAAAGAAAACTGTTGCACTTGAAAGAAAAGACTGGGAAGCATAGATGAGCTAGGGATGCATTTCTATTATTTCCAGAATTCTTGACCATACACTCTTGCTGTAGCTGAGGTTAAGGCTGTTTAGAGTTGTTTTATCTCTGGGGATCTACCACAGTTTGATTTCAATCTCTAATGTTCTACCCCCAGAGAAATGAGAACTAAGTATAGAACTAGTGGAAGCATTTATGCCCCACTATTCACACCATCAGAGGTTCTCAAAACCAGTGGTTCACAGAACATGAAAACTGCAGCATATCTCATCAATCGACTCTTCTCAGGTGAGGGATGCATGAAACTGATGAACCACAATGACTCATTCTCAATGATCTATAAAAAGATTACAAGGAAATGAAGCAACTATTAGAAAGGGACTGAGAAAACTTGAAAGGTGACAGATGAAATAGTGAGAGGATACAAAAGAGAATGTTTACATAGAAACAGTAGAACAGGGCTTACCAGGGGTAGGACGAGGAGGAAATAGTAGAAATTGGTCAAAGGGTACAAATTTGAAGTTAGGCAGGATGAATAAGAATAGATTATCTAATATACAACATGTAAAATATTAGTTAATAATGTTTATTGTATACTGAAAATTTCCTTACTTTTTTTTCAGTGTCGAGGCAAATCCTAAAAATCTGCCATCAGAGATTACCATATTTATGTGGCAAATATTTTTTCCAGGATTTGGTGTTCTTTAATTTGAGAAAGTATTTTTTACATGAGATTCCTGAGATTCTTCCTTTCTTCTCATGTGAGGTTAGGGGAAATATGTATCTTGAACTGGTTGTAAATATCTCTTGTTTGTACTCACAAGAGATAGCTTTGATGGATAAGGAAGAATAGCAAAGGATATTCTTCACAATTTTCCAGGTAACCCAAGGATCACCATGGTGATCTGGAATAGCAGTGATACTATGGAGCCCACATTTATCTTAAAAGGTTTTCCTGGTCTGGAGTATGTTCATTCCTGGCTCTCCATCCCACTCTTTCTTGCATATTTGGTGGCAATTACTGGTAATATTACCATCCTTTCTGTTATTTGGATAGAGTCATCACTCCATCAGCCCATGTATTACTTCCTTTCCATCTTGGCACTTACCGACCTGGGCATGTCCATGTCCACAGTTCCCACAATGCTTGCTGTGCTGTGGTTTGATGTCCGGGAAATCCAGGCAAGTGCTTGTTATGCTCAGCTCTTCTTCATCCACACATTCACATTTCTGGAGTCCTCGGTGCTGCTAGCCATGGCCTTTGACCGTTTTGTTGCTATATGTCACCCACTACACTATTCTACCATCCTCACCAACAGTGTAATTGGGAAAATTGGTTTGGCCTGCTTGCTCCGAAGCATGGGAGTTGTACTGCCCACACCCTTGCTCCTGAGACGTTATCACTACTGCCATGTCAATGCCCTCTCCCATGCCTTCTGCTTACACCAAGATGTTCTGAAATTATCCTGTTCAAATGCCAAGATCAACAGCATTTATGGGCTGTGTGTAGTTATTGTCACTCTAGGTGTGGATTCAGTCTTCATACTTCTTTCCTATGCTCTGATTCTGAATGCTGTGCTTGGTATTGCCTCTCATGAAGAGCAGCTAAAAGCACTCAACACATGTGTATCCCATATCTGTGTGGTGCTCATCTTTTTTGTGCCAGTTATTGGGGTGTCAATGGTCCATCGCTTTGGGAAACATCCATCTCCCATAGTTCATGTCCTCATGGCTGACGTCTACCTGCTTCTCCCCCCAGTTCTTAACCCTGTTGTCTATAGTGTTAGGACTAAGCAGATTCGTCTAGGAATTTTCCGCAAGTTTCAATTAGGGAGGAGGTTTTAAGGAACCTCTGTTTAGTTTTCCCACTGGAAATTTTCCTGAAACAGAAAGTACTCTGTTATGGGAAGTGAAGAGCCTGGAGACTCACTACCCAGATCCTGCTTCCAAGAAGTAATGTAGCCCTAGTAGCTGGGAGTGCTTCTTTCAGTAGAGAGCATTGATGTGCTAATTCTTTCAAGGATTGCTTCACCTGGAGAAATTTACCTTTTCCAAAGCCATGATCCATCCACTGACAAAGGCTTAAAAGGCTGTGGAAACCTCATGCTTTCAGCCCAATGCAGAAAACTTTGGTTGGAAAATTTGAGTTTCTGAATTCCCTCTGATGTTGGAAAAGACTACCATCGGAACTGATTTGCAGTTCAAATTCTCCTGCCCAATCTTACCTAATTACATTCTTCTTCCTACATGTTTATTCCAAAGATTCTCTATTTTAAATATAGTGTACACTAAAATTTACCTCTACATATATTTCTCAGACATCTCTGCAGTGAGAAGTTCCCAGTAAACCTGTGACATAGAGGAAGGGTGAAATAAAATTCTTAAGGATCACCTATTGCTGACAGACGGAACAGGACACGAATTTAAGAGGAGATGGCCTTGATGTTTAATTTTCTAAATCTCAATCAGAAGGTCAAACTAGCATATGACACTAGGGGAATGGAAATCACACTATTGCTTTGAAGGTAATATTTGTAGGTTTGTGTGTTTTGATATTTTTATTTTTTATGTACTCTTCTAGTGGTATGTTTGGTGATCAGAAAAGTTTTAAACTTTAAAGTAAATCTACTTTTTGTTTATATTTTTGGAGTTTTTAAAGAAATACTTGCCCACCATGTTATTCAGGCTCCACTCAGAAGTCAAAAATCATGCAGTAATTTGAATAGGGTTCATTAATTCCTGTATAAACCTTTATTAACTTTGTCAGGAAATTAACTTTGAGAAAGGGTAAAGATAATTTTAAATGTACACTAGGGTTTTGGGAGAATATTGAAGGAAAAGGTAAATTTGGAAGAAAGGGGAGGTCTTCCATAAGCCAAACGTTGAGATTTCATTGGAAAATGTGTCATTTCAGCCCATTGTATGCCGAAGAAGTTCATTCACTTGCCTTGGACAAGAATGAAACACCCTCATGGGGAATAGATGGACCAATCCAGGCAACTAAAATCCCCTTTCAGAGCTAGGAAGAAAGAAGTATTCCTTCAGGGTGTAGATATGCTGGAGTTGACAGGCAGAGAAATAGTTGAGACTAAAAGAAATTGACATATTTTTGAAGTACAGATGGACAGGAAATCACAGCTTGGACTAAGAAGCTGGAAACACTGAGTTGAGGTTACAGATAGGCTATGGCTGGGAGGTTAACCAGTGGAATAACTGCAAGATTCAGTAAGAATTTATCCAGGGATGCTGCTGAAATTTAATGGGATGAGTGTCACTAATATCTCCCACCCTTGCTTCTGCTATCTGCAGGGTAAAAGCAAGAAAATTCAAACAAATACATAAGAGTCTCTCCTATAAGTGTCCCTACAGCATCCTCTACTGGCCAAAATAAAAATCATGCTATTTTCACAGGAAAAAAATGTTCATTGTGTCTGGTTATATTCTTACAGGGGAAATGATGAAGACCCTGTTCAAAGCTGGGGCCAATAAATACATAACTGCCACATTTGCTAATGTAATCAATGATATTCTTCTGTGAAATTTTTGAAAGTTTGAAAACCTTACTTTTCATATTTGGATATAGAAAGAATGTAGAAGTTATTTTTATGGATGATGAGGTAAGATCAAGGCATGTTTCTGATATAATTATTTGGTTCACTGAGAATCATTTCCTGGATAAAGCATCAGTCTTGCACCATATTACTGTTTTTGTCATACAATGAAATGAAATGTGTGGAACTGTTTGGGGTCTTTCTGTTCCGTTCCATTGAGCAATATTTTTCTACCCTTGCCTTAATCTACTACTGTCCTTAATCACTACGATTTTAAGTGAAGCTTTGTTTTAGGGTAGTATCAGCCCATCACTTTAAGAGCTATTTCTATTTCCAGTAGCTGAGACTACTTTTGGTATTTGCACTTCTATATAAAAATTTACATGATGTATTCAATTTCTACAAAATCTTAAGCTTAATTTATGAGATAATTTGGGGTGAATAACCATATTATAATAAATAATCTAATTCACATAGTGGATTGCTTAATTGAATTGGATGATCTGAAATTTCTCTCGACTATTTTTGAAATTTTAAGGGCAGAAATCTTGCACATCTTTCATTAGTTTCTTATTCTGTATTTTTTTATACCTATGTAAATTTATGCTTTAAATTTTAATTTCTATTTACTGGTGTGGTTTTTTGGATATAAAAATGTATACTTACCCTGAAGAGTTAACTTATTGGTTCTCATGACTTGTCTTGAGAGTATTTTGTATTTACTAGTGGGTCATAGATACTATCTGTGGATAATAGTAAAGCTTTGTTTCTCCCCCCGCCCTTCCTCCTCCAGCTTTATTGGACTAGTTTAAAATTACATTTCCTATTTTCTAGGACTTCAGTTGCTTTTTCCATCTGACGTTTAAAAACTGATTACAGCAAATGAAACAGTTGTCTAAGTGATATAGTATACAAAAATAACATCTTGATTTCTGTGAAAATGCATTTCTCTGCAATTCCTGAATAGCTCCAAATTATGCTAACTTTGAGCATCAATGTTTACTCTGGGTTTTAGATTTAGTCTTTGAAAAACTGTGTTCTAAACCTTTGCCAGCCCCATCTGTGTGTCCACCAGCAACGCTGTGATGAAGGTCTTCCTGTCCAGGCGTCTATCTCGCGTTCTCTCGCGTAGCCATTAGTGCGCACCGTTGTCTTTTTGTTTACTCTCGCTCAACTGTATGTTCTATGACGGCCTGATACAGATGTTACTTGATGTTATTTAACAGCTACTGAGGTCAGATAATCCAAGGCCATCATTATGCTAAAATTAAAGTTATTCAAGGAAGTTCAGACACTTCCAGAATTGGTTTTACCTCCTACATGGGAACATATTCAAGAAGCCCAAGATGGGTTTACTGGTCTGACAATTCTTCCCATTCGTCAATCCCTATTCACCAGTGGCACGGAAAGGGGGTTCTTTAACAAAAAACTTTGTTTCCTTCCTTCCAATCTTTGTGTTTTTCTAGCTCAGTTAACCACATTTCTAGCAAATTTTCTTTTTCTTTGTCTCTGGGAAAACATTAATATTTCATAACTAAGACTGATGTTTATTATAGTTTTAAAACAGACCAAGGAAATTATTTTCTTTCTAACTTCATAGATTATTAACATTGAATTTTTCTTATAAGTCTAGATTATGATTATAAATTGTAAATTATTGATATAGTATAAATTATGATTGTCTCATTTTATGTTAATATAGTAAATTACTTTCCATGATTTTTGCCTTGTAAAATGAATTTGATGTTCAAATTAAGTTCAAAAGAATAATAGAATACTTGTACACGTGTGTAACAGCAGATTAGACTTGTTAATATTATTTTGGTTTTGATTTTGTAATCAATTTCATGGAAAAATAATAGTCTTATTTTCTGTGGTACTGTTATCCCAATATTGGAATACACACTATGTTTGATGCAGAAAAATCTCTAAGAAATGATCTCACTCTCTCTTTATATTCCTTGGAAATACATGTGTAGGTTTTCTGTTATTCTTTACTTAAATGTTTCCAGATGATTCATTAAGGGTAGTATCTTGAACTAAGGTTTCCTTCCCTCAATAATTTTTAAATGAGAGTATCAAGAAAGACACAAGTTTCTGATGATTTACAATACACTAATTTGGGATAAAAATTTCTGTTTCTCTTTTAATTCTTGATCTGTCTTGTTCTCTTCTCTCCTTAAACTCCACCATATGTTAAAATCTTTGAATACAATTTTCATGCCATTTATTTTCTGTTCTATTTATTTGTTTATTTTTATTTTTTTATCTTTTTGTTGATATTTCACTTTAGATTTTGGCAAAAAATTATGTTACTAAAGGCTTGATCTTGCCAGAGTCAAGTACCTTAGGTAAAGAAATTATGGTTTCTATGCTCTGGTACATTAAACCTTGTGCCTCTGTGATGTTTCAATAGACAAGTTTGTCAGTGAGGTGGATTTCTAGAGCTAATGTTTTAGGACATGCTCAGTGATAGGATACAAAATTCAGACATTTTGAGAGCTAATAATCAGTTTGTATTAACTTGCACATGCTTAACCATGCCACTCGCTCAGTGGTTCTGCCACCTGCCTTACAAGCCAACTTTTATGCATTCTCTACATGGACTCTGAGGCCCAGTAGTGAGCCTGGGTTTCTGTGAACACATCATGTTATGAAAATGAGGGCTTCCTACATTCCTCTTTCATTTACACGTGAATACTGTTGCATTATCCTAAACTGTTTTATAATCTGAACTAATAACATGATGATCTTAAGTTTGGATGATATTAAAATATAAAAGAAATATACTCTCTTTGTTTAAATAGTTTTCTTTAGGAGAAAACATCATTGTAAAATGTGATATTCCCTTATTTGCTCAATCATCCAGGTCTATAAAAGTTTTAATTAAAATAAAGACTAATGTGATTATGGAATTACATGGTAAATATTTGTGGAATTAATGTCATTGAATACAATTTTGGACAAATGATGGTGTCCTGGAAAACTAGCGGTATGGAAACAGTGATCAATCTTTGGGAAGAAAGAATGAATACTTATTAAACTGTCCTAATGAGTGAGGTGATGGTGAACAGAGTTTGAAAATGTCATTAGACAAATTCTCAGTGGTTTTTCTCTTTCTTTGGATTATCTCACCTTTTCGGGGACAAATCTATATTATTATTTTATGATGAATAAGATACAAAATTATCCAAAATCTCCAAAGCCTAACCTATTCAATATAATACAGACTTCAAAATTTCAACATAATAAATTAGCATGTGAAATTAATTTTCCTAAACATGATACACACTT